TATATATATATATATATATATATATATATATATATATATATATATATAAATTATAATCATATATATAGTTTTATATATGATATATAATTTTATACATATATATTCAAGTAAGACAGGAAATTACGATAACGTTAAAATAATGAAATCATGACTGAAAAGTGAGTTTTTTTAGTAATTTCCTCATTATTTTGATATCATTTTAACGTTATCGTGATTTTTTGTTCTGCCTGGATAGACATAAAATTCATATTCATTGTATAATTTTTTCTTGGAGCAATAATTGAAATTAGATTACTTTGACTGAGAATCATTAAAACATTGCGTAAGCACATTTCTCGACATTCCATCACGATACGTATCACAATTTCTTTTTATTTTATATTTTATGTAACTTAACTTCTCTATTTCGCATTTTATATAATCTAACTCCCTCTTTCCCCCCAGCGAATAGGATGTTACGTAGATCGCCAGTTAATTGTCTTGATATTGTAATGGAATTGGCCGTTTCGAATTATTTTTGAATCTTGGCACATTTAAACTGCGTGCGTACGATATAATAAATAGCTAGGATGCTATTTAAAGAAAAATTCTTTTGCGCAAGCGGCATGCAACGTGATGAAGAATAGTCGTATGCGATATGTTGCTGTTAATACCATCAAAACTGTTCCGTTAAACTACGCGCAGTCCATATGACAACTTATGATCCGTGAATCTTAAGAGGCAACATGTACCGCCGCCTCTGCCCAACTGCATAAGATGCATACTTCGTGAATAGTCACGGAAGCAGAATATACATCTATAATACTGGTCAACACAAAAATTGTATTTAAACTCGTTAATTCTAGTTAATTTTCTGCTAATCGCAAATATAACAATGAAAATTAAATTTTAATAAAGTAAATGATGAATGAATAAATCTCATAATAAAGTTCTTCATTACCTCATATCAGTGATGACTTTTAAACATGCTAAGGAAATAATTTGCAAAATATAGACATTTTATGTATTGTAAATAAATGAAACTGTCATAATTTTTCCAAACATATAATTTTGTACAATAAGATGCGTCATACTTATTACTTGTTCTCTATAATTAGTGCAAGAAGACTAGCGAATGAACACAGGATAAAATAGAAATTTAATTTGGATTAGAAAACTAAAATCTCAAATAATAGTTTGTATAACTATTTATTTATATCTTTATAACACTGACAATTAAATAAAAAGTCAAAATGATTCTCTTGAATAACTAAAATAAGTTATAAAATAATTTATCACGATATTATCGATCTTTTTCGTTATTCTTTTAGCATGTTCTATTTTAAAAATAATTAAAAGTCACCAAAAAAATCGCCAGGAATGGCGACAAGACCTTAAAGGAGTGAAAATGACTTCATTGGGCATTCTAGTGTTAATAATGTCAATGATACGTCATTAATACGACATTTGACGTCACCATGTTTATGAGCTTATATATGAACTTATATTTTAAAGTAGAATAACTTTTGTTCTAGGCTTTAAATCAATGTCAAATTGTTTATGTCACTTTTAGATACAATATAATCTATAATTTTTCATTATTTTTTAGATGTAGATAATGCATCTTTAAAAGCTATTTTTTTACTTCGAGCTATCATGGCAGTTTTGTAAATTGAATGAGATATCTATTTTAATTTCCTGCAGAACGATAAAGGTTTTATTCTTCCATTTTAACTATCTTTATTTCGGCAGCGTTAATAATGTAATATTTAAAAAGAATTTTAATCTTTGACAGTTTATCAAATATGTAAATAAAAGATTGTAGCAAAAAATTTGTTTTATTATTTTATTTTCATATTTCATAAAAAAAATTTATATAGCCAATATTTCTTGAACCAGAGCTAAATAATTTTTTCCACTGTCATTTTCTATCTCAACACATAAATCTAAGTAGGCAAAAGTTAAAATTCGGAGGATACAAATTATGATACGAAATTTTTTAACCAATATAATATGTAATAGAAAAAGAGAGAGAGAGAGAGAGAGAGAGAGAGAGAGAGAGAGAGAGAGAGAGAGAGAGAGAGAGAGAGAAAGAGAGACATACAAAGTAAAGTGTTGCGTTCAGATAGTTTTGAGCTTGGAAAAAAAATCGATATTTTCCGGAAATATATAGAGTGAGACAATAACTACTATCATTTAGAATATCTTCGAAATATTAGAAGAAGTGAGAGAAGAGTTTATCTAACAGAAATTAGAGAAATCGTTTAACGATAAGTTAATCTTTGTTATATACCTAACATATCAACACACTTGCAAAATGCATGGAGAAGTTACCCAATAAACATTAAATAACAATAACATCATATTGTAATTTTCATTCACAATATAGTATTGTAATTTTCCACTCGTCAATATAACTATCATGTATTATATTACTATTATATAAGCGTATATAAGTATATTATATAAACATAAATCTCAAGAATATTGTTAGAGCCATTGGGATGACTGTTTGTAGCGCGATTTTTAAAGTTAAACAATCACGACTAGGAGATTGCGAATAGTGACCGACCAGCCGTCGCTTGAAATCGAAATTACGGAGCGACGCGAAAGCATTGTGAAGTGTTCACTGGCTTCAGTCGCTAGATTTATTTTTTACCGTAGTTTACTTTTTTGGACCATTTCAATATTTATTTTGTTGAGTAGAAAATTATAATATTGGTATAATGTTACTGTTAATTGGTATTTATCAGATATTTTATAGATTCCTCTATGCTCTTAAATATTAGGGAGTGTTTTTGAATTCAGAAAATGTACAATTGTTGTGTATGATATGGAATAATCCTGTATAAATACTTCAAGAATTTCTAAAAAATTTCAACCATGATACATGTAACTTCCTAAATTATTCTCATAGCATTCTTCTACGAATTCCTAAAGCAACTTAGGTACACTTCAGAAGTATCATTGCGTTATCTGAAAAGTGACCGTAATGTTATATGTTGTGCGATGGGGTGATTATAACTATATTATTAAATAGTCGGTTATTCGAATTACGTATTCGAATAAAATACAGAGATTCAGGAATTTAATAGGAAGAATCGGACTGGATAGGAAATTAACGATAACTGAATTGAAAACGATCACCGGGAGCATAGAATCGGGGCGAGTATAAAATTTTCAACATCGACGGAGCGAAATGGATGCGAAGCAAGAGTTATTCTATGTTCCGACGTATAACCATCTCTGTGCTTCCGATAATTATAAAGTAACTATCACGCTGTTATTAATACATCGCACATTTTCTCTTTTTCCTTCTTGTCCCTCTCTAATTTTACTGAATTTAAAATAAAATAAAAATCTCCACTCTTGTACGCCCCCGCGCACCCTATGCGCTCCCGCCCGACTAAAAACGATAAAGGGAAAAAGGAAACATTGTCTTGGAAGGGTCAAGCCGGATACGCGTTCCACAAACTCGCCCACGAAATCACAAGCATAGGAACATCCTTGGTTGTAGGGGGATGTTTTGGGGTGTGAAATACGACCGTCGCCCGCGCCCTTGCGGTCATGCGTTCTCCAGTCGCTTGCATTTACCCCCATAGCACTCACCGCAGGAGGGGAATACGGAGGGGCTCGTATTTGAAGAGCGGCCGCGCGATTTTGCCCGGCAAACGAGAGGGAGAAGCCACGGCTTCAACCGCGCGCGGCAACCCTTTGGCGAACAAACGCGGAGCGCGTTGACAGTTGATCGAGAAAGCGCGACTTCGGAGGTGCGACCTGAAGAAACCGAAGGGTTCTTCGAGAGCGGCTCGGCGTTTCAAAGGACGATTTCGATATGAAGGTTGGTCCGGTGAATCGATTCTTCGAGTGGATAAGATATTGATTTTGTTCGTTTTATTGGGAAGTTGGTCTCTTAGCTTCGTATGTGTGTATATCAAAGTAGAACAGCGTTATCTTAAAGTATTCCATTTTACTATATAAAATTAAGTCAGGATAACTTTATTTTCGGTAAAAAAGTTAAGTTTCTGTTTACTGAAAAGATTATCTAATGTCCGCCCGAAAGATAATTTTAATATCCAAAAAGATATCATTTAGATATAAAAATATCAAGTTGATACATGGATATAAAGTAAATATATACCAAATGATAACTATAAGATGCATAACTAGCTATTAACCAACTGTAAATTGTTATTTAATTGATGTCATATTAATGGAGACGAAGTATTGACATTGACTTGTTATCTTATAGATACATTCCAAAAGTTGATTTCAAAAACGTTAACCAATAGGCAACCTGTTCTACTTGGGATAGTGCGATAAAGAGATTGATTTTATCTGAGAATCGGCTTTTCAAATTTTAATTGCACTTTTTTAACCCGGGAGTGAGCGCGTATCGGTCATTTTCCCGTACTTTTTCGTTTTCCACTTATATCATCTAATCTATTGACAGTATTTTCGCTTTTACGTAAATTTTCTTTGACGTTTTCTCGTATAGCATGGAGAAGTAGACGGCGTAGACACGCTTATTTCTATGTGAAAGATATGTTTTTAGCAGTCGGTCTAAAAAACCATAGCGCGTCTACTAACGTTAGTCTTTTAACTCTCGCCGCGTCAGCGTCGCTCGATGTGCCACTGAATGTCTATTGTCTTTCCGACATCGCAGTTGGACGGACGGTTCTCTCTTTTTTTGTTGAATCAATAAAATTTTCAACAGCACGCGTAATTGGAGTATATATTCTTGATTCAATAGCGATATTATTAAAATTAATACTTGAATTATTGAAATAATACATAATGTGACAATTTTAATATTGCCATTAAATCAAGAAGATTTATTTAATTTTAATATTGCTATTAAATCAAGAAGATTTATTTTCTATTTCTAAATTTATCAAATAAATTTTTAAGTTTATTAAATCAATGTTTAAATTAATCAAAGTAAAACGAGAGAAGCAAGAAATTCTTATTTTATTTTATTAAAAGAATGTCATTTTTTACTAATGCAGTTAAAATAAAAATATTATGATTTTATTTTTAATATATTCACATACATATAATAAGTTTAATATATTTCCTAAACATATTAGATATAGAAATGATAAAAAAAAAGAAGAAATAGTGATATCATAAAATTATTTTCTTCAATTATTATGTTTCTTTTAATAATTGGATTGGTAATTTATTAATTATTACTTAATTATTACACATATATTTGCTTAAATATATTTCGGTTAAAATAAGCGATAGGCGCCCACTAACGTTGGTCTCGTTCATGCGCCCATTCCTGGGTTAATACACATTTATTTTCCTTTCTAATAGCAAATTCGGTTACCTGCATTACATCGGATCAGTGCATATTAAAGAAATAATTAAATAAGAAAGAATATGAGCATTTTGAATTATTAAATACTTAACAATGATATTATCACATTAATTAAAATATACATTAACTGTTTTTACAATCCTTGTTTCAAAATCCTTCTGTTATGCCATTGTGTTTTAATATTTTATGTGTAGCAGCCTTCTTGTGCATTAACCTGATAGTGCGAGTGACCGAATTCGCTATAACATTCTGAATCGGATGTGATAACATTTATGCTACAATATATTTCGTGACATTTATAAAAATTATATATGAGAATTATATATGAGAATATGTGTGAAATATTTGATCGCGAATATAAAGAAGTAAGGCGATAGGAGTACGATTTTTGACACACATTGATTGATAGGAAAGAAATTTAAAGAGATTTCTTGTGATAAAAAATTTATCGGTTTTATGTAAAAGTCATTTCAGTAAATGTAAAGATTTCCAGTCGTTCTGAGTGGCTCGACATTAATTAATTTTATATAATCTTCAATTAATTTACAATAATTTTCTCAATCTTCTTAACGATTTAAGATTAAATAATAAAATAATACAGATTAAAATAATTTAAGATTAAATAATAAAATAATATACAGGGTGTCCGATAACTCATAGGGAAGCCGCGATGTACAGGTTAAGTCAAACTAAACGAAAATTCCTTTACCCTTGATCAGAACAACCATGTAAAATTCTAAATTATTAGTCAAAGAAGATTCGTGAATGATTATGCACCACATGATAGGTGAGCTGTGATTGTGACATTTGCCGCTGTATGCTACATATTAGGTCAAACAAAAAAATTTTCTACTATTTTCCAAATGATCATATACATGTTTAGTTATTAATTAAAGAAATTGTATAGGTCGTACAGTTGTGTGTGATAATACACCAATCTTTTTTAATTAATAACTAAATATCTACGTGGTCATTTTGAAAATGGTAGAGGGTTTTTTTTGCTTAGTTTGATTTAGTTATAAGTATATAACGGCAAACGTTGTCACCACAGCTCATCTATCGTATGGCGCGTGATTATTCACGATTTTTCTTGGATTAATAACTTAAAATTTTACGTGGTTGTTCGTAAAATGGTAGGGAAATTTTTTGTTCAGTTTGATCTAATCTACCTGTACACTACGACTCTTGAATTACCAGACATCTTATATAAATCAAGATGAATAATAAAATCAAAGTATAAATAACAGTAATTTTCTAAGAAAATTAAGGTCAAATAAGATCTCCAATAAGACTGATGTACGTAAATTTTATGGTAACTTTAAATATATTGAATCACAAGATTCAGCAATTTTTATATCTCTCTTATAATATTCCTGTCTGATTAAATTGCACTCATATTTATCTCACATATTTATCTCACACAGATGACGAAATAGAAATACGAAAAAAATTATGAAAATTTGCTCTAAGCAGTATGTTATGTGAAACTTAATATGAAAATCTGAGTGTAACTTTTAATAAATTTGTTGCTGCATTAATAATAAAATAAAAAATTTACATTATTCTATGATGTTAATTTAATTAATTAATTAATTAATTAAATATATATATACAGGATATTCTCAAAAGGTAGTACCAAATTTTAGGGGTGTGTAGTACTCGTTAAAACAAACCGAAAACTCTTAATAAACAATATTCCGAAAACCTTTTATTTCTGAGTTATGAAGCATTTTGTTCTGTGAAAAACAGAAAATAAATTAAATCTACAATAAATGTTCAATATAATTTATTCGAACTTTTGGGAGATATTCCTTTATAACCTAGACAACGAATGTGGTTCATACACGATAGTGCTCCTGCCCATTTCCTCGTTAATGTCAGATGCCATTTAACCAATCGTTTTCAAGAAAGGTGGATAGGACGTGGCGATCCAGTTGTATGACCACCTTGCTCACCGGATTTAATCCATTAGATTATTATCTATGGGGATATTTGAAGAGCATGGTATATGCCACACCAGTTGATACAATAGATGAATTGACTCAGAGAATTGAAAACTGTTGTCAACAAATACGGAATAAACCCGGAATATTTGAACGTGTTCGATCTTCAATGAGGAGACGTGCCGAATTGTGTGTTGAAATGGACGGAGGTCACATTGAACATTTATTGTAAATTTTAGCTATTTTCTATTTTTCACAGAACAAAATGCTTTATAACTCAGAAATAAAAGGTTTTCGGGGTACTGTTCATTAAGAGTTTTTAGTTTGTTTTAACGGGTACTACATACCCCTAAAATTAGATACCACCTACATGCACACGCACACACACACACACACACACACACACACTCACACACACACACAGTATATTCACTTCATAAATTAAAAGAATTGTAAAATTTCCATCATCGATTATCGTGATAACCGTGAAAGATTATTTGCATGTACAATTGAATGACTTCCTATATGTGAAAAAATATGTAGTCCATTTTAAAAGTATACTAACCCAGTAAATCCAGTAAACACAAAGTATTATCGATGTTACGATGTCAGCTCAATCATATGGTATATTACGTAACTCTTACTTTGTTATATAACAAAGTAACAGTTACATAATATATCATATGATTAAGCTGACATTGTAATATGGATGATACTTTGTGTTTACTGGGTATGCTAATGAAGCGACATTTCGCGCACGATCACTATTGTTGGACGCAGTGGGAAATGTTCGCGGAAGTTACCGTGAAAAAACGTTCGGATATCGAGCGCGATGATGACTTTTATTTTTCTTACCTTTTTGTTATGCTAATCAAATGCAATTCGCCGCGTGAAGCATATTACATCGAGGGACACACTGCTACATAGACAATCGTTTATTCCCGTGGGATAATCGATAAATTAAATCGAGTCGTATGCGTTTACTCGAACATTTTGCGGCTTCCACCGCGAATAGGTAATTCCACAACTTCCCTAATTGTTAATTAACCGCAATCTTATTAATTAAGCGCAAAATTGATCTAGAGTATCTAAGCAGCTTAAGCCACGTGTTTGCGGCTCTGCGGGCTTTGTATACGAACGTTTACATAACGACGATATTTGTTACAATTTGCTCGCGTATAACACACATATATACCACATATATACCACATCGTTCGCGACGGGTGTTCAATTATTTTTTATTACATCATTCGCGTTGTGCACAGGATTGTTACGTCAGGCGACTAAAAAACTTTGCGGCTTAACCTTTGTTTTGTTTGACAGGTTACCGAATACTTCTGCTGCGCGCTCGCTTGCATGTGTCTGCTGAAGGTGGTAAATACCGAGATATCGAGGGATAAGGTAAAAAATATGTTTATATGTGTGAGCTCTCAGAGAGGGCCTGCCAAAGCTGCTTTAACTATGAGACTACAGCTTTTATGTAGGACATAGTCCTATATAAAATTACGTTAAGACAAATATTTCATATTATGAAATTATATCCTTTGATCAAAACAGAAGTATAATAAAGCTATAAATAAGGATGATAGATTTTTCGTGTCATTTTAATGTTAATGAATAATAGAGTGTGTTGCGTCTTGGAAAAATAAATCGTGAGGGTGAAATTTACTTTTGCAGTTTGAACACCAGCTCTTGGACGCCCTTACAACGGAGAGGACGATGAAACCGAAGAGACCTTTTTGCAACGCTTTTACGGGTGAGAATAATAATAATTTCTTTTTACTTTCAATGATTGTAACTTAGCACATATGTATATATAATTATATATTTAATTGTAATGTATTTATAATTGTATAATTATTACGGAAAATATTCATGTGTATATTATATTTTTTTTCAAGAGTGTATATATATATATATATATATATATATATATATATATATATATATATATATATATATATATATATATGTCTTCAATTCATTAAATATATTATAATCTTGAATCTTTTTTAAAAATTGGAATTTAAAGAGAATGAATTCTGTATGAGACTATTTAAAAGTTCCGATTCTACAGCAAGAAAGTGCAGCCAATTTTAATATATAAATTAAAATATAAACAAAAAAATTATAGCTCTGTGCAAAAAATTTAGTAAAAATTTTAAGTTGAAAGAACGTAACGGCATGCTTCGAAACGTTGACACCTGAATGATTCATAAAGTGTTTTCGATTCTCCTGCATAGGATGCGGTAGAAAAAGGAGTTTTTCCGCAAGTACACCCACTCTGCGGGACTCGCAGGACTTCCGTGCGAGCGACAACGTACAACTTCCGGTCTCGCTGTATAAAGCGCTGCTGAATGCCGCTAAACAAAACACCTGGGACGCGATCGATCGTGAGGAATACGATTACCGATTACGACGAGTACCGCAGTTCTATCTACCGGGTCAAATGCCTCTCCGCGATACGCTAGAAAGCTAATCTGTCTGACAAACTTTGACGCGTGGGCGCCGGCTAGGATTCACGATTCAGGATACCTTTTGTTCTCATTTTCGAGTGTACATCGTAAAATATACGCGCGACATCGATGAGATGTTTAAATAAAAAAGAAACAAAAAAAAAAAGAATTTAATCAATACAGTACAGCAACCCTTTCAAGTGGAAACTTCACTTTTATTTCGGAAATTCGCAAAATCGCGTCCTGTTGCGTCTTCTTCGCGGCGTCCACGACTCGATACTAATACTTACTTTCGCTTAGTTGCTTGCTTTCCGCCTCGTCATAGTTAAAAGGACGTAAATGTGAACGAAAAAAATGCATACATATATACACACACACGCACACATATATATGCACACACATATATACTCATATATACACATGCAATGGTACGATATAGTCATTTTATTTTACACACAACTTTTGCGCGAAACACTCTCTCCTCCCGTCTTTATCGTCGGAGAATTCTACTACTGCTGCGCGCGAATCGTCCGCGAAGGAAGCATATAAAATTATAATCGATGTAATTATCGATACTAGCTAGAATTAGCTTCGAGATCTTCGCTCGTTCTTAAGGGTTCTCGATAGCTATGTGTTTATTTGTACGCACCACTCATATTCCCTGCCGAAAGATCATAATTGATTTGCTGTTAACGACTTCGAACCATATATTTTTTAAATGACTGTTAAATTACATCTGGTTTGTATCCAATAAATTCTATAAAATCTGTTGTCTAGTTAATTACTATATTCAATATATAATTATTCTACTTATTATATACTTCCTAGACAATACAAATTACTAAAGAAAGTCTTAAAGATATTCAAAAGAACGTCCTATTTAAGACGTCTTTTGGACATCTTTAAAACATTTTTTAATATTTTTTAATATTTTGTGTTATCTGGGTTCTCTCTCTTTCTCTCTCTCTCTCTCTCTCTCTCTCTCTCTCTCTCTCTCTCTCTCTTTTATCATCCTTTTTTCATTCCACGTATAATATAACAGACCATAAGAAAATATATATTACGCCACACGTATATTTTTTTCATAATAATATTATGTAATAACAATAAATGTAATGTAAAATAATAATAATATGTAATATAGCAGGAGTACAATGATGCGTAACAAACATTCCTATTTGGTGACTGTGTGTATATTTATCTGCGATAGTTTACAGATAGATGACAAGTTTTATTAGCATACCTCCATTCCACGTATATTTGGTATTCCTTAAGTGTCGCTGAGACATCTGAGACGACACTTTTGACAGGACGACGCGTCTAGGAATACTTAATCCGACGCACTCCGGATTGTCCGCTTTCCCCGCTAACGCTGGTCGGCCCCAGAAATTTTCCGTACACAGCGTAGCCGGATCCCAAATTCGAGATCGTCGATCCTCGCGCATACCTTTCGGCGATTGATCTAAAACCTGCCGAATTACGCATTATACTGATAAACATCATTTGAGTTTTGTCAATGAAAGCTCGAGATATGCGCATGAAAAAATTTTAAATTTAAGCAAGAAGCAATTACGTTGATCAGATGACCAGCGTTATGCTTAGATAATTTTAAAATTAGCTAAATAAAGAGAAGATGAAAATAAATTAATAAATAATATAAATTTATTTAAAATGAGATAAAGATTATTTCGTTTTAAATATATTTAGATCAAGTATGAATTTATATGGTGATTCATCTAGATGACTTCTAAATAATATTGTTTCTTAGGCTATTTATATAAAAACGGTTATGAAAAAAGAGTTGCAGTTAAAAAAAGATATAAAAATATATTCGTATTTTTATTGATAAATTTTTATTGCATACAATTTTCCACATTTACTATTCGATAAATGATTTCTGAAAGAAATATAAATTTGTTATCATTTTGTCTGATTGTCTAATTATAGGTAGACGAGTCCCAATACTATTTCAATCTCATGTAATACAGGCATACACAGATGTCCATCACGTAATAGCAATACTTTTAATTTTACACGTTTGCGATAATTTTAAATTATTTGGACGTTATTCTAAATAATTTGGCAAAAGTATCGTTTTTTCCATCATTTTTCCATCAGATACAGATGAAGATAATATTTTTTTTATTATGAAGATAAAATTATACAAAAAATATTTCATCTAGATGATCATCTATATAATTTTATCTAGATAAGAGTCAACACTGTGGAGAGCTGTGAAATCCTCAATAAAATATAATTTAAGTTTTACAAGTAATATAATTAAAAGCAATTAAGTAAGAAGAGTAATAAAAAAATAAAAAATAAAAATGAAAAGTCAAATAGTTGTTTTATGACGCTAGACAATCCGGCCTTTCTACGATGCGATCCAAATAGCGACGGAAATTTCAATCAACGCGATACATACGTACTCGAAACTTTTAACCCGATTCGAAACCTTTCCATAGTATTAGAAGTTTCGTTTCGCACTGTCTCTTGAGAGCCTCTCCTGATACGCAGAAGATAATTTGGTGCGACATTCCGACTGCACACTTTTCGTCTTACCCGCAAGCAGGTAGACGGGGAAGAAGGAACCCTGCTTTTTCTTTTGTGTCGTTTCGCAATTGCGTTACTCCCGTCCCGAATAAAAAACCCGAATAAAATCTTGAACGCGCGTTACCAATTCATCCCCGGAGCGAAACGAGAATCATCCAGGTTACACTCTTTCCCTCCTTGCCCTTTTTTTGTCTTTTTCTTTCTCCCTCCCTCCCTCCCTCCCTCTCTCTCTCTCTCTCTCTCTTTCTCTCTCTCTCTCTCTTCCTCCCTCTCACCCTCTCTCTCCCTCTCTCCCAACCTCCCTTCCTTCCTCTCTTTACCCTTTTCTCTCACCATGATATCGCGCGCTTACCTCGAGACGGATCCTAAATGGGAACGGCCACGCAAGAATAGAATCGTAAGGGCCGCGCGTCAATCCGACACCCACGAAGATCGTACCGTCGGGGAAATATTTGGGCGTAACTTTCAGGTACAAGGTATAACCGCTTGAACCCGCGTGGAAAGTTGGGCTTCGTACCGAGCGGCTGGTCGGCCAGTTAGCCAGCATCTCGTCGAAGTTCTCCACCTGCCAATAATAGACGAACGCGCTCGTCGAACCTGAAATAGAACAGACTCGTGTTACGAATTCTTATATTTCAAGTCCTTAACTCTTTGGTCCTTCCCGAGTCGAGCTCTACTTACAATTTGAGCTTTCTAATATCTATAGGGGACCTGGGAGTATAATGGAGTATCGTCTTTAAGAGGTACTGTCATATAATGAGATGTTTTGCAATTATTTTTAGATGTCTCTTTCTGCATACTATTATCAATTGTCATAATATTTTTCGTCGAAAGATGCTAGATATTGTTTTATGCGTTTAAAATGTTTTCCGCAACTGGGTTGACATTGCTTTAATACTTTTGCAAATAATAATAAAATTCTGTTCTTTACGTACCGAGTGTATATTTATGTTATTAAACGATCTTTTCTCGTTATAGTTAAAAATAATAAAGAATATATATGAATATAAAACTTAAATATTTATGTGTTATATATTTAAGGGGGGAACCTGATTTAAGAGACCAAAAAATGTATGATTTTTAGAAATGTTTTTCTCAACTAGAATAAAATCAATTACTTTTAAATTTTAAGGATGTTTTACTATATACTTTATCATTATAAAATAATTTTTTCATCGAAAAAAATTATGATTATTGTTTAAACAATAGAGCCAAATGCGTAGTGCCAAACTGCTGCAGTTGTTCCACTGTGTACACTGTAACGATTGTAATTTTTATCTGAGACAAAAGAAATAATTATTTTTGTTAATTGTATGTAATTACCTTCTAGTTAAACTAAAAACTTTACAAGAAAAACAAAAATTGAAAACTTGCAACGACTTTAAAAAAAAAGTTATGATTTTTACCAAAAAGTTTCAACTTTGTGTTGCAAAAAAATTAGTCTAATTTAATGTTTTTTAAAAACATTATAGTTTACCTAAAAGAGGAACTAATCAGCTACAAAACAAACTTAGAAACAATTCAATCGATTTATTAGAGTTGTTTTTATCGTGTACACAAACTCAGAAAATACTGTTTTGAGAAAATCGCGTTTACGGAACAGAAAAGTATCTATTTATAGCAGTCACAGGTAGCGCTAAAGCTGCGGCGCCGCTGCCTCTCAAGTCGCTGTTCGTCGTATGAGTGGGCAAAATTTTGAGCTTGCAACTCAATTCTAATGTCTAACATGTTTATTATCTTTAATACACTGCTATATCCTTCATTGAAGACACATGCGGCAATAAAAGAAGTAATTTCGATTGACCGTTTATAACGACATAAAGCGTTGTTTCTAAATTCCACTTGACAACTGTCTCGAGTATTCTAATACATTAAAACATAAACATTAACATATAAATATAAACAATCTATTCAATACGAAACATCTGCTGAGATGATGATAATTCTCTACGAAAGACTACACTGTAAAAACTGATGTGTTAAATTTAACATTTCATGTGTCTCAGATCGTCTACTCTTATTTATGTGTAAATTTAACACAAAATAAATGTGGTAAAAAGTAACACGCATAATATGTAAAAAATTAACACAAGAATTTAACACTTGAATATCGTCAGGAATCACAGTTTGTGTTAAATTGACATATGTATAATGTTAAATTAACTAAGATGAAACGTTACTTTAACATTTAAGAGAAGTATTAATCTATGGTTTTGATGAAATGAAAATGTTAAATTGACATAATTTATATCTGACATATTAAATATGTCAATTTAACACAACCTGTGATTCCTAATGATATTCAAGTGTTAAATTATTATGTTAATTTTTTCCATATTATGCGCGTTACTTTTTAACACATTTGTTTTGTGTTAAATTTACACATAAATGAGAGTGAATAATTTAACACATCAGTTTTTATAGTATAGGAAAGCAGAGCGTGCTGTATATCTGCTTGACGCATGATCTTTTTCAAACTGTAACTCGAAAATTATTTTGAATTTCGGCTTAAAACTATAAGGGTATATTCTAAGTATTACTATCGATTATCGATTAAGACAACATTTGAAAATTCGATATTTTGATCTCTATAAACCAGGTTCCCTTAAAACTCTTTTTTTTCCTTTTAAATTAGCGTACATTTATTAGCGTACACTAATTTAATAATTTCAATTGAAATGTTTTATTTAAAAATGCTGCAAATGTTGTAAAATGTTTTTGCAGCATTATATTGTAAAAAAATATTGGAAATTATTTTTAAATATTCAGAAAATAATTTAGAGAAATAATGCAAAGAATAAAATGATGTTCTAAACAAACGTCTTGAATTAGATTGGTTTAATTTTGGATAAATATCATTTTGAAATTACTTTTTAAATTTCTTAGAGTAAAAATCTTACTCGAAAAATAGAGTAACAACCGAGTAACTCAAATTAGAGTGACTTTTCATTTTCTTATAGAGTGAATTCCTTCACTTTGTATCGTGAAGTGAACATTTTTATTCTGTATCGTGAAGTGAATTTTCGCTCGACAAATGGAGTGACTTTTCACTCGTGGAAGAGTGAATGATTCGGAAACAATTCATCTGTAAGTATATTATCATTATAATATCGTTAAAATTCACTTTGCTTGGAGTAAAATATTCACTCTAGTTGGAGTGAAATATTTCTCATGAAATGAGAAATGTCACTTCATTTAGAGTGGCAATATTTTCATTATTACTTGGAGTGAATATTCATTCTTTTTGAGTGAAACTTTATTTTAAGAAATTTAGGGAGTATATTCCGACAAAAACGTTGCGCGTTATGGTGAGTTGTCTTAACGTAATCATTGCAAAATTATACTTCATTTCATGATATTATTGTAAAATGTTTGGACAATTTTTCTATCGGGATTATTCTTGTGGGAATAGAGTATATCACATTCATTCTTTAATTTTATGTGAAAATATTCACATAACTATTCAGAGTGGAGAATTTACTTTACACTGAGAAAAATTCCTCAGTTATTGGACAAAAGTACGTTTATTATTCGATGATCGTTAGGCAAACAGATCGAACAGTTATCTTTGCAAATTATTTTTTATTATTTTAACAAACATATAATGCCTGAGATACAAATCACATTTGTTCTCGTTTATCGTATGTGTTGTTTCGAATATTAAGGTGCAGAAAAGAAAATAAGTGAAATGAGAGAAACAGATTCAGTATCCGAACGTCTGAAACGTTGAGAAACGCTAGTGAAAAAAGTTATACTTTTTTATTTAACAATGTTTGAAGGTTAGGCTTCTTTGTTAATACAACTGATTTGCTGAAACGTCATTTCTAATCTTTGCTAATAGTCTGCATTATTAGCAAATCAAATTTATGATTTGTTGGATTAATTTGTTTCCATTATAGAGGTATTGCTTAAAGCAACAAGTTAAAGCAACAAATGATTTGTTCCATTATGAAGTCATTTACCGTTCTATATCGATAAATTCTATATCGATATTTGTTGTGGATTGTTGATACCTTGATGAATTAGCAGAATTTTGTCTTACAATATATATGAGTTAAAAATTACTCGAATTCGAGTGATGCAATGATCACTCCACTTTTTGAATGAATTTTTGTACTCCAAGAGATTTAAAAAGTAATAAATGTTAAATATGCCTTTTTAATTTGAAGTCTAATTTTTTATGTGACCATCACGCTTAATCTCGTTTCAACTTCAGAATCAGATAGATATATTTAGATTTCGTTAAATACAGTCCCAGCTGTAGCTAAGTTAGCTATAGCTAAAAAGTTAACTCGCGGTCGTGTTACCGTTTTCTTTCGTCGATCTGTCGTGCTTTTAATAGGTCTGCTTTTCGATTAATTACACTGTCGGAATTTTTGGAAGAGCCCGAAGTGTCCAAACTCATTCGGAGACTTCGTCATCAAGAATCGATACGCTAACTTTTTGATAAATTTTATGCGTTATGGAGTACATAAAGTGTATACAAGGTGTTCTAGATTCTTTTCCGCAATTTTTGTGGGAATATAGAATGAATTGAGGTAAACATTCCAGGTAGCAGACTCACGTCAAAATGACGTCCAAATCTGCTCAGTTCATGATTAAAAATGGCCAAGGAACGATCAAAAATATCATGAAAATATCGTAAAAATAACGGTCTGTCACAGATCGATGACGAAATTTTAAGATAACTTAATGACGTTTTAATGACGTCTTTAAACATCAATGATACGTTATTAAGACGTCATAAAAATGACCAGTTTTTAACATCATTTTGACGTGAGTCTGCTACTTGGGATAAAAGTTCTATATTGTTTTGCAATATTCGCAATAATAGTCGCAATACGTATTAATTAAAGATTAGTGAATGATCACGTGCAATACAGTAGATAAGCTCTAGTGGCGATGTGTGCTGTTATGTGTTTGTACATTCCCAACAAACACAGAACATAACTGTGATATAACACAGGAGTAACATGTAATATAACTGTTATACGTTGTTAATATTGAGGTTATTTAATTTCTTTTATAACTGCGATATAACTATGTTATAAAAACTGTTATGTTATTATGTTATTTACTGGTTAAGTTACATCAACAATATAATAGCAACATAACTTTAATATAACATGTTATATAATATGTTAAGAAGTCTAATGTTTGCATTACATTTCAGTTGTGCAATATTTTTATACACAAATGTGAAATTATATTTTAGATGTTATTTTAGATGTTTTCTATATATAAAATGTGATATTTTAATATATGCAAGGATCATTATCACGATATTGTAAAACTAAAGTTCTCTCTTATAAAAAGAGAGTCTAATCATAACCTTACTCTGTCAAAGTATTGTGAGAGAGAAAGAAGGAATATTCTCTCTCTTTTGCAAGCACGTTGTAGATTAAAATTTGATTACTGATACAACATTCTATCAATATTAATCATATTGTGATTGTCGTGTCAAACAGTTACCAACAAATATGACATTTTTTGAACAATATAAGAGTATATTGTAAATATTATTTATCAAGATATCGTTACGGCGCATCGGCATCATCAGTTCCCGGACGATCGTTGAAGTTAAGCATTGTTGAATA